TTTATACGAAGTTATACGAGGCGGGCGGCTCGAGTCACCCGCGGCCGGGCAGCCCGCCTGGGGACGCCGCCGCGCCCACGCCGGTCCCGGCCGAGGCTGGCTTTTTGTTCATTTTTTGAGGGGTGGAGGGGAACGAGGAGGGTGTTTGCAAAGTATTCTCCCATTTTAGCCCGGGAGGGAGAAACTTCCCTGAAATGTACGTATCTGGGCGATGCATAAGAACATATACACTCCCTCTGCTCTGCCCAGGAAATGCAGAATTAAAATGCACTTGAACAGGGAATGCTTTTTCTTGAAGGCGGCACAACAGCCAGGCAGGCGTGTTTGACGCAGCCACCGGGGCACTTCTGAGGGTTCTCATCTCATTCTCCCACCTCTACCCCTCGGATTTATAGGCTGTTCCTTTTTAAAATTTTTTCCTTTTATTTTTTGCATGGGAAGATTATCTCATCTTTCATTTGTGTGGTTCATCGGCGGAGACCAAATAATCTTTCCGGGTGTTGGAAAGGCGAACTTGGAGTAGACATGTGGCAGGGCTAAGATCGGCGTCTGGGGAAAGTTCATGCCCTTTAACTTCTCCCCCTTCTAGGAAGGATCTCTGGAGCTGACGCTCAGCCTTTTCGACCCACCCGGATTCCTCTTGGACTAGCACTGGGAGGAAGGGGACCGCTTTCTGAAGTTGGCCTGGACTCTAGCTGCCTAGAAGACCTGTCGTCTTTGTTTTTAAGTCTGGAGAAATGGAAGAAGACGGCGAAGTCCGAAGAAACCATTGCGAAATTTGAAGGGGCATCCTGAAAACCTTCACTCCCTGGCCCCGTGTTTGTTTCACCAGCCGGAATTCTTCCCTTTTTGGTGTGTGGTGCTCCCCCCCCCCCATGTGGACTCCAAAGGATTTGGCCCTTCTTTGTCATTTGAAATGAAATGATGGCTACACGTCGGACTGGTCTGCCTGAGGGAGATGGTGACAAGCTCAAGGCCTGTGGGGTCCTGGCCTCGGAGGTAAGCGCGGAGACAGCATCCCCCGCCGGCCGGCCGGTGGGTAGTGTCTGTGAGCGTCTTGCCAGTGGTGGGGGGGTCAGCTGCCACCGAGCCTCACCAGAGGCTTTCTGGGGCTTTCAGCTGGATGGTGGGAGCGCTCCAGCTTGACCAATAGCGAGGTGAAACCTTGCCCACTTTAGTTTCCAGGGACTTCCAGAGATTTCTTTGGAAGAACGTTGTCCGTTACTATGAAGTGTCCCCATCTTGGTCACCCTCTCTCAGACCGCGGAATTCTCATTTCTGGTGGCTGTGAATGCTACAAGCCTGAGAATAGGGCACCTCAGTATCCGTTTTGCTTTAGTCTCCATCCTCCAGTATTCGAGTTGAGCTGGTTGGGGGTGCTTTGTGCATTTCGTGTGTGTTTCCAGGGTTTGTTCCCGAGGAGGAGAGAGGGCAGCTGGTATACTTGTCGCCTCTGGAACTTAGTCTCTCTTTGACAGGGGAACCTTGCTGCTTTTGGTACAGATCTCTGCTTTGGGTAGCAAAATAAGTCTTTTCCTATGGATGGTGTTGTAATTCCAACTCCCTGAAAAATCTCTTGCCTTCACTGTTTTCTTTTATTTATGCCCTTCCTTTCACTGCTCAGAAGTTCTGAGAGCTGCTCTGAGGTGTCAGGTGGCTTGCATTGCTGTTCAGACTAGCATCTTTCGAAGGGCCCAGAAGATATTACTCCAGGCTTCCTGAAATTTTTTGAGCAGACAGGAGAGAAACCGTAGAAAATCCGTTGATTTATGACAGCCATATACCCTGTTGCCTCTCGTATCTTTTTTTACCTCCTTGTATTTGGAGATTGGAGTATTTAGAATTTGCTTCTATAATGAATATATTGAAGTTTACTTTGTTATTTATGGTTTCCTTATTTTGCTTGTTAAACATACTGAATGTTGTTATCCTTTACACTTTACTTTTGAGATGCCTATGTTTAAAAGGTCGAAGATTACTTAGGTGACCATCACATCCCCAAATGAGCCTTCACTATCTCACTATTTCTTTTGTGCCTTGTGAGTGTTCAATTTTAACTTTATGTTCCTTGAAACAAGATGTAGTTCTAAGTGTGTGGTTTTGGGATTTTAATAAAAATGAATCAGAAATTAAATTTTGGTTCATAAAGCATACAGAAAAACTTACTTCATGCAGCTTACTTCATGTTGGATTAAAAAGTTCATGCAGAAAACATTGTGAGGTACAGTGTACCATTACTGTACAATTTATGAGGCAGAACCGTAGGTTTACATTTAGAATTAGTGTTTTACTTCTTGACATATGTAAACACCTGCTTGCAGGTAAAAGTGTGATTAAGTATAACACCACAATCCTCTGATCATGGTAAACCATAATAACTCCTTTTGGAAGGCCTCGCTACAACCTGGTGATTGCTTAATGTGTATTGTAGTTACATAATAATATGTACTGTGGTCCTAAATCCTTATTTGTCATTGTCTTGTGAATACTTTGATCAGCATGCTATTTTCATTATATTTGTAAGAACTAATGTTACTTGAAATTTTTTTTGTCTTTTAAGGAATGCCCCCGAAACCAAGAATTTAGACACATCTAATCTAAAGCAGTGCTTCCAGTTAGTTGCACACTTGGCTTTTATTAACAGTGACAGTTATGTATTTTTTTAAAGGCTGTGAAATTTGTTTTCCTTTGGATCTTACTGCTGGCATGGCTATATTGTTTCTAGTTTGAGAACGAAGAAATACTGTCTGTATTTTGCTCATTTAAAGAATATATACAGTACTTGGGTTTGGTATTAAACTACAATACTGTTTGGCTTTTTAAAAAATAAGAAGATATTTTGCTTAGATCCTGTGTGGAAATAGAAATAAAGGGGCTGTATGCTGTCAGAAAACATTTTAAACCCTCTGGGGGTGGAGGAGAGGAACTTGTGTAATTGCAGTATTGCATCTGTTTAGTTGTGATGTGTATTCATCTCTGATGCTTCTTTTTTTTGATTGATGCTTCTGATGCACATTAAATCTTGTTAATATTTTTTAGTAATAGAAAGGGAGTTGTCACTGGAATACTGTACTTTGGGTTGATAGATATCTGGGTCTTTGAACACTGCACTTTTGTGCTTAAGGTTATTAGAACTATTACATTCTGGAGTAGTACCATCATTCTTTAAAAAAATTTAAAAACCATTGTTTCTAAATGTGTTTGAATAATAAATCTATGTGTGTTAAGAGATGAGCATATATGTCTTAATAGTAATGCTGTTCATCAGCTAAAAAACCTAACCTTGTAGGACAGAAGAAACCAATGTGGTGAATTAATAGGAGTCTGTAACGCCTTATCTAATTAGCTAACTCCACCTTCTATGAATAGGGTCCCTTGCTTTGTTGAAAAACAGGGATTTCTTGTTCATCTTAAGTATTACAGTCTAATTATGTTGATATATGAATAAATTTAGGCATACTCTCCCTCCCTAACCCCCCCAAATATATTGAAAGGCTCAGAAACGAATAACAAAGAGGCCTCTTCAAATAAGGAATTGTGACATTTCAGTAGAATATGTCTTGGCATTATACAGAAAGGATGGCTCAGATTGTATTCATACAAATTTATATACTTTATACATCTAAAGATGTATTTTTCAAAATTGGTTTCACTCATTCTGAACCACATAAGTGATTTGGGGGGGCGGTGTATAGTCTGATCACTGAAGTATTCTGACACCAAACCTTGAGTAACTTTGCCCACAAAATCACTTTATATAGACTCTTCCTTTGAATCCTCTGTGGTATTTTCACTCCCTTCTCTATCATATAGTTTTATCCTTCAAGGTTTAACTTTCCTTTTTTTTAGCCAAAGGAAAAAAAAACTTTTCCTCAGCTTTCTAGACACATGGTTTTTTCCATTTTTAACATTTATTACACTTTTTATCTGTAGTTCATAGCATTGTCCAATAATAGAATTTTTGGCACTTTCTCTGTTTATTGTGAAAACAAATAGTAAATTCATTTATTTCATTTTTAGGTTTTGCTTCTTTACCTATGCTAAGATTATCCTATGACTGAAATGTATTATAGCTGATGAAAAATATTTGTTGATTGATTTTGGAATAGTGTAAACAGTAAGATAAGGCATTTTTTGCTGATGAATTCATATGAAACTATGCTTTGGCTCTCTTTTCTGGAACGCTATACACTTTGCTTTTATCCCAGACTCTCTTGTTCCTTCTCAGGCTCTCTTTTTCCCTCTATCTTGTTCTCTCTTTCTTTTTTTTAGGATTCTTCTTCCTCTGCTTGCCCTTTTCATGTTGGCTTTAAACAGAGCCAAACCGTTTTCATTCCTGTTCTCTTTTGGCACTCCCTTGCTGTTTTTTTTTTAAATTCTCTCCCATGGCTTTAATCTATATACCAGTGACTCCGAATCTACAACTCTGTTCCAGATTTTAGGGCTGACCCCGATGTATATAGGCATTTGCCTATTTATTGATCAGTTTTTTGGGGATAGCCTGCAGGTATTGCAGACTCAACAAATTCTGCCCATACCACCAACTTTCTCCTCTTCCTATGTTCCTTCTTTTAGTGAGTAGCACTACCATCTCCTTATTTGTTCAAGTCAAAAAGTAGGCCATCATCCTAACCTTGTTAGACAGAGGAAGTCAGTTTAGTGAATCCTACCTGAAACTGGGTGGTTTATAAAAAATCAAAATTTATTTCTTACAGTTTTGGAGACTGAGAAGTCCAAGGTCCAGGGAACACATCTGGTAAGGGCCTTCTTAGAAGTGGGTGGTGACTCTCTACTGGGAAGCCGGGTGTCACATGGCAAGAATGGACTAAGCAAGAGAGAGCTAACCTCCTCATCGCTCTCCTTTTAAAGCCATCAGAACCATTAAACCATTACCACCCATTAAACCATCAACCCATTATTCCATGTGTGGATCAATCCATTGGTCCTAGAGAGAAGAAAAGAGTTTTCAGTTGCATGGTTTTAAATATCAAGTATAGTTGACCTTTGGTATCTGTGGAGGATTGTTTCCAGGACCTCCTGCGGATACCAGAATCCATGGATGCATAAATTCCTTATATAAAATGGGTAGTCTTTGCACATAACCTATACACATCCTCCCATATACTTTAAATCAACTCTAAATACTTATAATACCTAATACAGTGTACATTCTATATTAATAGTTGTTATGCTGTATCATTTAGGGAATAATGACACGAAAAAAAAAAGTCTGTACATGTTCAGTACGGAAAATTTTTTTCCGAATATTTTTGATCTGCGGTTGTTTGAGTCCATGGATGTGTAACCTGTGGATACAGAGAGCTGACTGTATATATTGATAATTCTATACAGATATAAATTTGTGTGTGTGTGTGTGTGTGTCCAAGAACCCTGACCTATCCCTCTATCCTTTGAATTCAGATTCCTGCATCCAACTGATCTGACCACTCAGAATCTCCACTTGGATATTGAATAGGCATATCCAAAACCAAATTTCTTTTTTTTTTTTTTCCTTTTTGTCTTTTTTCGTGTCCGGCAACGGATCGCAACCCTCAGTGTCGCGCCCGTACCGGATCGGGACCGGCAACGGGATCGCAACCCTCGGCGTTGCTCCCGCACCTCGCTCAGCCAGTGAGCGGGAACCGGTCTGTATGTGGGATCCGAACCCTCGGCGGGAGCGCCACCGCGCTTCCCAAGCGGTGCACTATCGCAGTGCGCCACCGGGCCAGCCCCCAAAACCAAATTTCTGATTCTCTACAATGTTCCCCCAGTCCACCTTCCTAAATTTGCTCCTTGTCGTCTCCGAACCCTCGGCGGGAGCGCCACCGCGCTTCCCAAGCGGTGCACTATCGCAGTGCGCCACCGGGCCAGCCCCCAAAACCAAATTTCTGATTCTCTACAATGTTCCCCCAGTCCACCTTCCTAAATTTGCTCCTTGTCGTCTCCGAACCCTCGGCGGGAGCGCCACCGCGCTTCCCAAGCGGTGCACTATCGCAGTG